ATTGTAAATCACTCGGGGAACATGCAGCTCACATTACACTATCGAATTACATTACCCACAAGCTGCTCACGTGTGTGCCTTGTGAACCATTTCAATTATATTATTATTATTACTTATTATACCTCATCTAGTCTTGAATAACTTAAAAAAGATACATATTTTTAGATTTTAGTTACTTTTCTAATTATACATAAAGAATAAACATGAAAAACAAGAAATAAAGTACTTACCTAATCTTCTTTTTTCTTGCTGTCGGGTTTTCGAAGAGAGTTAATCCTAATTTTTTTATACCATAGATAGTAAAGCACTTAATAATTTTTTATTTATTAAATAATGCACCAAAGAATATAAACTAATAACATGCAAAGAGTAGACAAATTACCTTACTTCTCAAAATTTTACTGGCTTTCTAACTATGCGATAAGAGCCATTACAAATTCATCCAAGGTAGTCGTTAACTTTCCCATGGGAACGAATCTTGCATTGTGAGTGAAATTAACGATATTCTGCGCAGAATACACGTTATACAATACGCCATTTAATAGATGAAAACCTTGAGTTTCTATTGGTTATAGGTAATATATAATGAAACGTGAGAGAGAACTATTCACAAATCCTGAAAGAGAAGATGTGACAGAAGGGGTCTGATTTTCTAATCGATAGCTCTGTAACCAAACAAAATTGAAGACTATAAAAATTATGATTTGTCTGAACAATAACAATTTTATAGAGTAATTTACATTTAATTTCGTACATTTTCAAGGTGTGATGGATGAAAAAGGATGATGACATGCAAAGACAAAATGTGTCACAAGGGTCACATTTTTTTTTTATATTCTCTTGTAAAATTAAGAACTTAAAACCTGTAAACTATTGAAATATGGATTATTAGCTAAGATTTTATGCTATTCTAATTGGTATAACATAAACAAAAAGTAGTTTAATAAAATTTGAATGTAAGACACTAAAACCTTGTGTCATGGGCAGTAAAGGATACCCAGGGCAATAGGGTTAAAGAATTAATTCAAGTCAAAATATGATTTCATTTTTACCTCAACTCAATGGAATTAGTTGATATTGAGCTTCATGAGCTGAATGTGTGTATCTATCTAATTCTCTCTCTCTCTCTCTATATATATATATATAAACCTTAAAAAAAAAACAGTTATTTAAGAAAATTGCAGCAGAGGTTGATAAATTATTATTTGGGATTCAATTAACTCATTTCTGATGAAAAAAAATACTAAATTACAAGACAAATTTTAATTCTAGATAGTATACATTTGAGGTATGAAGCCTGTTTGTTATGTACAGAGAAATACCCTTTCCAGTTATTCATGCCATTCACTTTCTTTCAGCATCTCTTTCTATTAATGTCTCTTGACTCAGAATTTTATTTTTTCTTCTAGACAATGTATCTTCAGCATGAATGCTGTACATATGTATTTTTTATATTCATTATAATTATACCAATTATTACATAATATTTTATGTTTCCATACTGGCTTGTTTAAACAGTTTACTGAGCTTAATATCTTAAAATTTCTTAAATATTACCACAAGAATACAAAATATTGTACAGCTAAAATTTGTGTGCATATGTAGAATAACTGTTAAAGTCCAGAATAAGTTATACATGAAATGTTTCAAAATACATTTTTAAATCTGAACTTTTTTCTTCTCTCACTCTAAAACCATCAAATTCTAATACAATAATAGTTTCAAAAAAGGCTTCACAGCAAAATTTCTCTTCTAGTTCATTTTTCAAATTATGTCACTGTAATTTATTTTATCAGATGTTAATCAACTTATAGAAAATGATGGCTGAATTATGTTGTTTTTTTATACATTTTCTCCAATACGACATGAAACGTTCTTTTAGTATGTTAACAAAGGGAAGATTATAAAGGAAGTATTATAACAATTATTGTGCTGAGCTAAGTAGTTAAATATGTCTCAGCACCAAAAAATGCAAATAATGCATAATTTTCTCATTTTTTTAATGGTTAGTACACAAACTTGTAATTTTATTGCTTAAACCACCAATCCAAAGAAGCCAGGTAAGAATTATGATATTCATAAAGCCCTTCTGGGATGTACAAGTCCTTTGAGATTTTAGTTGTTAATCGTTCTTTATGGAAAAAACAAGTAAAAAAATGTAATAACTTTTTTAATTATGTCAGTATCTTTAAAAAATATAAGTATTTTATTTGTTCAAGAGCTCAAAGCCAAAGTAATACAAAATGGCAACAATTAAAGTAGAAATATTTGTCACACCAAATAATGAATGAATTAGATGTTTGAAGTTACATTAAAAAAATATATATACACACACACACATATACACTTTATGTTACCAATATACCCACCAGGTTCTGGATGGTGTCTGAGGTTATTTTTAAAATGATGACTTGTGAATAAATGAAAGCATACTCCAGGTTGTACTCGACCAGCTCTTCCTTTTCTTTGAACTGCATTGGCCTTAGATATCCGTACTGTGTCTAAACTCTCCATACCTTTACTAGGATCATATCTACAGACAAAACAAATATCATGATTAATCACTTTGACAATATTAACATATTTGTTGTTCTTGAGTCATTGGAGCATACAAGAACAAAAAATATCTTCAATATAAATATTTAACTTGATGAGAAACATAAAACATACTAGGAATGTTTAAGAAAAACAAATCAAAGTGTTAGTTCCAAAACTTAAACAATGTAGTCATTTAATGTATAAGAATAAAAACGTCTTGGAAACAAATTACTGCTACAAAAATTGAAAATAATTTTTTTCTTTGATTGTATACTTTTTGTCATTATAATCTTTTTATGTTTTAATCTTGAAGATTGCAGTCCATCAACAATCCTCAACACACTTGTCAGAATTGGAGTAATTTTGCAAGGAAGAATGGGCGAAAATTACACTATCCCAATGTGCAAAGTTGGTAGAGACCTATCCAAAAAGATTTGCAGAAGTAACTGCTGCCAAAGGTGCTTCCACCAAGTACTGAGATAGGGGAGCTGAATACTTGAATAGTTATGCTATCAGCAAATTTCAATTTATATATTTTCTTTGCAGGTTTAGCTGACATTCAACCTCCTTCGCATCTAACATTGTTAAGTTTGATCATTAGAGTTTTGAATAAAAACAATTTCTTTAAAAAAAATTGTTTACACTATTTGTATTTCATCAAAATGTGACATTACTGGTAGGGGATGAATACTTTTACAAGGCTCTGTATAAAATGGAGCTTTCTGATCAATATTAAAAACAACTGAAATTCTAAAATGAAAGAAAGTAGTTGTAATGTATCACAGAACAAAACTTTGAAGTATATGATAATTTTAAAGTCAAAACGTGATACAATATAACATGTTTTAAACCAAGATTCATGTAATTTGACTGAGTACTTCCTCTGTGAAAGTAAAACAAAAACAAGGGATGTCAATAACAACCCCCATCCAGTATATAAAAGGTTAGCTGATATAATTAACATCAAATAAACAGTTTATTCAAGCAGAGCAAATCAGGTTGTTATAATAAAGAAAGAGGAATTTCTTGTACCTTGATCTTAGTGCCAGTCACAGATAAATAGCTGGACATAATTTGAAAGTGAAAGTAATTTAAAAACTTGTTACAGAAAGAATCAAAGATATTATGCTAACATAGATGTATGATGAGAAATGAAGAACAACATTTGATATTTAAAACAAAAAACCAGTACCAAGTAGTTTAGGCCAATTGCAATGTTACTGATTATACTCACCAAGCTCTTTGTTATGAGGTGATTAACATTCTTTATTTAATATCTGTAACTGATAAGCTTCAAAAACAGAGAGAACGAAATGTGACAGTGTAAAGTGAATTGGTAAAGGTAAACTAACACTAACAATGTAAATAAAATAAAGCTAAGATTTATAAAAATTTATAAACAAATATAAAAATATTCTGGTTTCCAAACTTTTAAAATACATGTACATCTAATTAAAATATAATGACAATTTCAGCTGCTAGTTCCTAAACTAAACTATTTCAACTTTTCAGTGAATACCGAAGCAAGATCTTTACTTGTTCTTTGTATAATTGTATTTTTTTAAACCACTTCTTTTTTTTCTTGCATTAAGTTTCACACAAAAGAAATTTTGTTTGCCTTTTTTCTTTCATCATTCCAGTGTCCACAACATACACCACATCATCAATTGTCACAGATGTTTCAGCAATATTCGTTGACAAAACAATCTTTCTGACACCTTTATCCATTTTGCTGAAAAATGACATGAAAGCAAAATAATTTATGAAAATTTAACTAATATAATGTTTTTCAAGTTATTACCTAAAACTATTTCATATACAATCCATTCCAACAAGCAATGGATACTTGGAAAAACTACACATAAAATCAACAAAATGATTATTTTTGAAATATTAATGGATTTTAAGATATGAATTTTTGTTCTTGCTGTTGTATTCTTTTATTTTAAGCTTAAAGCTTAAATTGAATGTTTTTAAGGTATTTTTCTCATAGATTCCTTGAATTTATAAAACCTTCTTAATAAGCCTTATCTTGATAATGGATATATTTATATCTATAACCATAATACTCATTATTTGTTTTCCTCCCATGGGCTCATAAGTATGTTTGAAGGCTTATAATGCTAATATTTGTGGCTCTTTCCTTGTGGTGAGCATAGCAGAGATAGCCCATTTTTTAATTTGATGGTATTATGAAAAATATATTTTTCTAATAACAATGTGATATTTACTTCACCATGATGTTTAAGATTTTCAAGAAAGTAACAAAAACACTTCAATATTATAAATATTACCTTTTAGAAATAAACATTTACTGTCTTACTTGCATGTAGTTACCGTCTTTTTTTTTATTACAACTCAAAGTATCTGTATTGCTACTCTTACTCACAGGTGTAAGTGAGTTGGTTAATATAGATGATCAGAAACTGGAAATATAAATTTGATGTGGTTTTAGTATTTTTTTATATTTATTCTGATTAAATTTTTAGAAATCAATATTTATGTTTATTGCAGATTTAAATAAATAATTTAATGTAGAAAATGAATGAAACAAGTAACTGTATGGGCAAATAAAAAAAGAAGTCTAGAATTAAAGGTAGGCAAAACAAATGAAGTAATCTTTTTTCTTTTTTTTCACACATATTATTGTGCAATGTTATATTCTTACAAGTTATATTCTGCTTTGCTAGAATTAACTACAAATTATTGTAGTTAGTGCATCATCTCATTCTCAGACCAAGAAAAGTAACATCAAAAGCTTTCAATCAACAGAGAAGAAATTCAGCAATGAAATATACAAAGAAACAAAATCAATACTAAGCTTACAGTAATGTTAGAGATCACTAGTGACTAAAGCACTATCTTTATCAAGTATATACTAACATTAACCATGGCCAACAACATGAAGCTTCAAATAAAAGCTGTTAGCATCAGATATTAGCACTACACTGAATAAAAAAAAATACAACGTACCAAAATAAAATAAAGCATGATGAAATATTCAACAGAACTCCTCACAGGCTCAGCAAAGAAGAAACAATTACAAGTTAAGAACACAACACCTATTAACTAGTTTTCACATATACAAACACACTTTTCTTTTTAAATTTTATTCTTGATCTTCCATATTTATAAAACATAGTTGTTCTAGAATAACCACCAGCCACCAGGTAATCATATTATTGGGAAATTTGTCCAGAAATTGATGATTTGATTGTTCTATAATGACATCTTGGTACACAAATAGTTCATAGACATAAGGTACAGTTCATAGACTAAACTCAGTCCTAAAAACATTTTAGTTCTGTGAAACAGTTTACATAATTACAGAAAATGATTACCTGAAAACAAGGGACTGTTCTTCACTACTTAAAGATGAATGAAGAGGCAAAAGTTTAAACCTAAATAAGTATGAAAAATATATTAATTACAAAAATCATGACTTTTTTCCATTAAGGTATATCAAGTTACTTCTATTCCATTAGTACCCAAGATATTTCTTTTGATATTTTTATCTATTTTTTCAATTTATATATTTCTAGTTTCATTCACATTATCTCTCTAATTTACACGTACATACGTTTTAGTCAATTCTAGCTCCCACATGTTTAAAATCTTTTTTTTATACAAAAGTTTCCATAATTCCTCTACTTTGCACAGCACTTTTCCACATTATTCTTCTATTTTCCTACAACAAAAACCACTATTATAATTCTACCAACCCTTTTCTTAAACCAATCTACAATCTTATATCACCTGTTTATTATCAATATAACTTCTGCAAGTGCTAGGGATAGACAGTGACTTTGTTATTTTTAGTAGTAGTTTCTACAAACCTCCTTGCTTTCTCTCCAAATACTGAATGGTTTCGTAGTTGTTCATACAATGAAGTAATTTCTGCCATTCCTGGTAGAAATACCAAAATAGCTCCTCCTTTTGGATACTTAAAAAAAAAAATATATATATATATACTGTAATGACCAAAAAAGAGAAACTCATAAGTTATTTTCTTGCACATACAAATAGATTTTAGTTTTTTTAACATATTTCTTGTAAAACTGATAAAACTTCCAGATTAGTTGTTAGAGAATGTATGTAATACCTAGTAAAACTGATAAGACTTCCAGATTAGTTGTTAGAGAATGTATGTAATACCTAGTAAAACTGATAAAACTTCCAGATTAGTTGTTAGAGAATGTATGTAATACCTAGTAAAACTGATAAAACTTCCAGATTAGTTGTTAGAGAATGTATGTAATACCTAGTAAAACTGATAAAACTTCCAGATTAGTTGTTAGAGAATGTATGTAATACCTAGTAAAACTACATGCCGTAAAACTATCTCTCTTACAGATTAAGAAACCTTGAAAGTTACATTTTGTGCTAATCAAAAAGAGGAAAAATTTAACCTGCTGATAATACAGTTTCTAAATCAAACACAATTTATACTGCAAAAGATCAAACCAATTTCTCTGTTGAAATCAATGTTTTAGTTCATAAGAAAATTAAAACTGAAATTTACCTAAAACATACAATTTAGCTAATCTCCCGACTATTTGTCAAGACATAGTTGTATTTAATCTCTCTACCTCCTTCTCTAGTTTAATAACTGATACTGCATCATCTACAAACTCTTACATTCAACCATCTGACATAGCTAATCATATGTGTTATGTGCTCTCTAAGAAAGTACCCTAATCTAATCAGCCAGGTATGTTTCTCATAACTGAGAGCTGGATGGAATTAAAAAAAAATAAATGTGTTTATTGTATTTAACCTAGTAAATAAATATATTAATTTCAACTCTCATACCATAATCCTAAAACTTATTAACAAGAATCCTTACATATCTATGAAAGTGGGAATAGAGAAGTGCTTCTCATTCCAGAGGAAGAAGTTAATGGCAGGTGAAACTGGCCATGAAAGAAAATTAGTGTCATGGTACATGTAATCAAGATAACATGTTACTGACCACAGAGATGAAAGGGGGGGGGGGGTCTGGCACCCAAAATCCTGCATTTTGATGCATTTTAGTACTTAAAATTCACTTAAACAAGTTACCCCATTTTTCTTACATCAATGATTATCAAATACATGTGAGA